CCATGCTGGCTGGGGAATTCTGGGAGTTGAAGTCCGCACCTCTTAAAGTTGCCAAGGTCGAGCTGCAAACTGCAGAGGAGGAGAGCATGTTAGTCTGCGGTGGCAAACATCAGGCCTTTCCCGACTCACCGATTTTATTCCAAGGCGTCTGCTTTCCAAAGCTGTCGCCCGCTTCATCAGTTGCACCCGCTCACATCTGATCTATCCAAGTGATCGGCAGCTCATAAAATCGGACGGCTCGGCATAAAATCGATGAGTTGGGAAAGGGGCTCCCAGGCTCCTGATTTCCATTGCTGCTTTAGGAGGCCGTGACTTTTCAGGGTCCTCCAGATCCTGCCGTTGGTCTTCGATGAAAAGGCTTCCTTTTGCGTGCCAGACGCCTTGCCTTCGAGGCGTGCTCCGTGCGCTCCCCGAGTTTCCGAATGCGCCTGTTCAGTAGCTTTCCTAATAGGTTGAACCGTCACTAGACTGGCTTCAGGGAATGTTCTGAGGGACCCCAAGCGAAGTGAGGTTCCTCCGAAGTGTGCAAGCAGAGGCAGCCTTTGGCCTGGACCTGGTTGTGTGAACAAAGTGAGCAGGGAGTTCAGGAAGGGCAGGTAGAGATGGACAGACTCACGGCATTGTAGGAAAACTCGCATCCCCTTCTTGGCGTGCGCTAACCTGGAAGCGGTGAGCTATATGCTGGTGCATTGCAAAGTGAGTGGCTAACCCTAACCCTAACCCCCCCATCCCCAAATTGGTTTAAAGAACAGTTTTTCTTAAAAGAAACAAGACACACCCACACAGAGTAACTGTCTCTTCCATTCAGAGTTTACCATTCTGATGCATTTGCATCACACTAGTGAGTGTTCAGGTTGAACTCTGTTTATACCAGCCTTCCAGGGGTGCTAGATCCCAACTCCCTGGCTGGGAATGTTGGGAACTGTAGTCCGCCCCACGTGGAGGCTATTTAGCTAGAGAAAGCCAGCCGATTTCTTATTTTTGCAGCCATTCCTTATAAAACCCGCAGTTCAGATCTGCTCGACTGCCTGCCGTTGGCTTTTGGGCGACCCCGTCAATGCTCTCGTCAGTGAAGCCGACGAGAAAAAACCGATGCGGTTTTTGCACGATCCTCTTAAAGTCTTGGCTTCGAGGGTTTGCTTCCACCCCCGGTTTGGGCAGGTGCAGTCTCCCTTTGACCCACCTGCATGCCTGCGACACCAAGGTGGTGCTTTGAAGTAGCTGATGTGCCCTTTGGTGAGGACAGGCTGGAGGGAAGGCGGGTGAGGGGTTTAAAGCCGTCTTGCTCCTTGGGAGGGACCGTGGTTGAGCGAGCGGAAAGTTGACTTCAGATTTTTTAAAAGTGCTCCGTTTCCTCTTCCTGCTCCCCTTGCACTATTGCTGAGCAACTAAGGCTCCAGCTGTCTGTTAGAACAATTTTTATTAAAAGGTGTAAGGCGCAGGTTTGCTTCATCGGATGCACAGGGATGCATCCGATGAAATGAGCTGCAGCTCGCAGAAGCTTCTCCCTTTGAATCGAGCTGGTGAGTCAGAAAACGTGCTGCCCGATTCCTGATGTTTTGCCACCGTAGGCCACCACGCCTCTCCTCCTACGACGTCTTTGAAAAACGAAGGCTCCTTGGTCTGAGCTCCAGGCTAGGCGATCTTCTTTGAGGCGGGGGCGCCTTCCACATTTTGCACAGCCCCGGTGGGTGCGCTTGCGAAGCGGCTGCCGCGGGAAAGCGGCCTGTTTGCCCACACACCGGGCAGGAAGGCGGGATGTGAGTCAAGGCCGGTAAATGTCCTGTCCTGGGGGCCTTCGCCAGTCGTCAAGCGTTCACTGAACAGAAGATGGGGCAGGTCCCAGGAGTTTGCCTGCCACCCCGCGGGACTTCGGCAGACCGGAAAGGCATTGTTGCGCAGAAATACGATACTGAAGTTGGCTGATTTGCTTCGTGGAACGCCAGTGGCCTGGTTTAATATGTTTTGGGGGGAGCTTTTTAAAAACAGGTCAGTTGCAGCCAGGATCCTGGGGATACCAAGTGGGTATCTGGGTTTCACATTGGTTGGCCCCATGTGACTCTTCTGCTCTTGACTATTAACCGCCCAGAGTCAGTGGGAGTTGGGCAGCATATACATTTAATAAATTAATATTATTATTATTTGGTAGAACTTCGTGGAACCGGGGCGAGGCAAAAGGCAGCCATCTCAAGTACCATATTTTCGTTGACTGTGAGCCGTGCCTGCTTTTCCCTGCGCGACTGTAAAAATCACACACCTTCCGCGAAAATAGCCTTGTTGCTGATTTTCCAAGTAGAAACTCAAATAATCCATTATTGTCTAAAGAAGGGGCCGTGCCTAATAACTCAGACAGGAGCTTGGTTTCGTTTTTCTTTTAAATGCCCTCGGCTAATGGAACTCATAAACCAGTTCACCAAGGGTGTTTTGCCTTTAAATCTCACCAGGGACGGACTGATTGCATTACGTTGGTTAGACTTTACATTTTTCTCCCTACCCCCAAACGGGGATTGTAGCTCAGCGATTAGCAGCCCAAGATAAATTCAAAAAGGAAAATTGCAGTGAAATGAAACCATTTGCCAGCTCTGACATCTAATAAGAGCATAATCGCCCGTTCCTTTTTTTAGTGAGCTGCTGCTTTGTAACTCCCCCTGAAGGAAGTTGCAGGTGTCTCGGTTTGCAAAGGCTGGCTCTGAGGGACGGAAAGCAATTTTGCAGCCGCCTGAGTTTCTCCTGCCAAATGTTGGTTTTAATGAAGAAGGTGGACGTGTGCGTTTGAAACGATGGCGTGGCGTAGCAAACTGCCAAGACAGGTTGTGGATGGCGCTCTTCCCGTCAGTGTGTTGCAAGGTGGCTTAGATCCGGATTAAATCACGTGTTGGAAAGCTGGCACCTCCGCTGACCCCCCACCTCGTAGGGAGTTGGCTCTGTCTTGCACAGAGACCCCTTGCAATTGGTCCTGTGTGTTTCTGGTTTGCTTCTCCCCTGCTCCCCAAAACGCGGCTCACGGAGAAGGCTGCTGAAGGTTGCAAAGCACCTTCCTATCATTGCTATTTATTTTTTGCAAAGCTCCGGTCTTCCTTTCCCTGCCCCCGGGTCTGTGCCACGGAACTGCCAAGTCCACGTTTCAGAGAAAAGCAGCCTTCGTCGATTTCGATCGGGCCGGCACGCCTTCCCGTCCCAGCCTTCAGAGCGACGTGGAAACGAGCAAGGGCCAGCTTGGATCGCACCTTTTCCGCCTGCTCCCGGGCGGTTTCTGAAAAGGATCGACGGGCCGGAGTTGAAGACATCACAGCCTGCGTGCCAGCGTTTTGTGCCAGCCTCCTTCGCCGAGTTGTGGGAATGCCTGTTAATTTGTTAGGAAAGGAAAACAAGCTAGATGGCTTTGCTGGCCCAGGCGAGCTGCGTGGCTGTTAAGTCCAAGCCTGTAGGGAGGAATGGAAATTCCCCAGGTCAGTTTCTCGTGGGAGTGAATGATGGGTGTTGTAATCCTGCACATCTGCAGGGTGCTGGGCTGGGGAAAGTGGCAACTGAGCTGCTTTTGGGGGGTGCGCCTGATGCAAAATTCTCCACCGTGGGGTCTTCCACGTTGCCCACTGTCATATTTTGGGTGCACTCTGCGCTCTCTCCCGCGGGCAGACGGGCCGAAGTAACAGTGGTCAGTGCAGAAGTAATAAAGAACAAAACAGGAAATTCCATGTATGTATCCTGCTGCATAAATGCCATACAATCCAGGTTTTCTGAAGGCCGGGAAATCCCTTAATCAGATTTAGGTAATCAGTAGCTGAGTGTTAATACTGTACCCTTTCAGGATCCTTCTGTGGGAGCCCATCAGCCTTTAACCTTTTTTGTATGTTTGTTAATTTTGTAAGCAAAAAACCCCACTGACCTGGAAGATAATCAGAAGCCAGAAAATCAAGAGGAAGGAGGTCATGGCTAGTTGTGGTCCTGACTAGGAGTGTTTCAAATGCTGATTTCTTGTAGCTGCCTCTGTTGGATTTGTCTAATTATATTCCGTTTTATGCGAAGAGGCTTATATTAGAATAAGATCTAATAGACCGGTCTGAAAAAAAGGAAGAATATGTATCTGTAATATGATTTGATTCCAGAAAGGTGCTTTGGAGTGTGCAGGACCATGAATGTAGCGCAGACTGAAACTCTTTAAAGCAGCTCTCTCTTTGTGCGGTGCGGCTGCCTTCTGCGGCTAACTCGTGATTGCCAGGACATGGCTGCTTTAAAGAGTTGCAGACAGTGCTACGTTCATGCTCCTACCCACTCCGAAGCGTGCTTCGAGGACTCGTATCTAAAGCACAGCCCTAATTTGCATGACCTTAAACTTTCCACTTGCTAAGAGAACTTCTGAAAGGGAAACCAGAAGGGGGAGGTGGGAATTGGAAGCGGCTGCATGTTGTGTTCTTTCTTGGGTTTGGGTACTGTAGAACTAGTTTTCTAACTGCAAGGTTCATTTAAAAAAAAAAAAAAAGAACAGAAGAGTTTCCAGTCTTATCAGGGCACCCATCCAGGAAGAGAATGGGAAGAACGAAGGTCCTAATCAGCAGCCTCAGTTTCTCATTCGTATCTTTTTCTGCTCCAGCATTTGTTTTCCTGCCTTTTTCCTTGGCCTTTCCCGAACGAATGTGCAGCCCGCTCTTTCTGCAAGGGTTCCAGAGAAATAGTGTGTCATTTGTTTTTGCTGTTGGGCTTGGAAGCCTGCACAAAACTAACATTGCCAGATGCATTTGGCACTCCAGAGAGAACTAAGTAAACATTTTTTTTTTCCAATGGGGTGGATGCTGGGAATTTGTATTATTTCTGGACAAAGTTCCTCTCTCCTTTTTTCCCCACCTTCTACTGAACATGAACTGGAGAGCCCTAAATCTGCACAGGGTTGCTGATATAGAACGAACATTCCCAGGGTTTCTGAAAGCGTTGCAACTCTGAAAGTTGGAGGGTGCAGCGAGGGTGTGCCCCTTATGTGGATGATAGCAAGGCAGTTTAATCTTGGAAAGTTGATAGTCTATCATAGTGTTTCTCAACCTTGGCAACTTTAAGATGGGCGGACTTCAACTCCCAGAATTCCCCAGCACGCACCCACCAGGTCGGGGGCGGTTAGGGGGGTTGGAGCGGTGCACCATTCATGTGTAAACCGGTGA